CGCCTCTCCTGACGGGGGCTGAGGGGAGGGCGTTTTCACGTTAAAAAAACCCCAGGGACGGAAGCTGCCCGCAGTGACTGGGTCTAGAAACGTGCTTTGCTGTGCTGTGCGAGACTTTCCCCAGTGAGGAACCGATTTCTCCTTGGCCAGGATCGACGACAACGATGGAGAGTTTCTCTTGATAGAAGCAGCTGATTTTCTCCCGAAGTGGCTAAATCCTGAGAACAGTGACAACAGGGTGAGTAAACCTTTTGTACCCATTGGCAGGTGGCTCACAATGGCATTTTACTTGGCAGTTTGGGTTTTCTCTTGCACCTCTATGTAGCCAAGTGGTCTGATGGCCACTGAAAACCCAGAGTGCTGTCTACCCTTTACTAGTGCAGAAACTTCTGGTCAGGGCTCAAGAGTTGTTTTAAGTAACAGCATATTTTTTTTCAGCACAGTCTGTTTTCATCCTGGTTTTAATGAGCTGCTTTGTGCTTGCTGTGGATGTTGAATGAGACTCTTAACCACTGGAAACCTCTGATACTTGGTTCTGGTCTGTGTGCTGTTGCAGAGTGCTATATAGAGTGAGTGTGTCCTGAGAAACTGCTGTAGGCATATCTGGAAATTGTTACAGATCTAAGTGGTTCTTCTAGAATTGTTGATGGAAGGAAGAAAGAGAAACCTCTGTTACTAATACGTTCTTACAATAATGGCAAAACATTCCCGTGGAGGCAACAGACCTGCCTGTTAGGCTGTGGGTGTGTGCTGTTCAGCCAGATCCAACTCTTGCACATAAATCATTGAGTTGTTCCATAATGCAGAGCTGACTAAACTTTTTAAAACTTGCTACTCATGGTGGCAAATGTGAAGGTAGTCATGCTGTCATGCTATTGAATGGTCTGTAAAATCAGTAAGTTTGGCCAGGTTTCCATTTCCTAGGTTATGGGAATGCAAGAAAAGCTTGGATAACATGGTAACTGTGGAATGTATTTGGCAGTGTAATCCAAACATACCATATTGCTCTCCTCAGGAGCACTCTCGGATCCACTTGAGCTTTCTAGCTCTGCTGTAGCCACTTGGATTTTTTTCCTATCATATGCTCAAGTGCTCAGGCTGAGGGTTTGCTGCCCTCAGCCTGGGGAATGCTCAAGGTTGCTGACTCTACAAGGAGACAGACTAAGTCTGGCATGCATTAATTAATTAACGGACGCCTTCACCTATAATCTGCTTCAAGATCACCTTGCTGCAGATGATTGCTGGTAGTTGTGTCACTCAGTTTCTTGGCAATGGATTTAAACTGAAATAACTTACTTTTTCATTAGCAAAGATTTGTTCAGTTGCCCTTAAAAATAAAAGGGGCAGAACACAACGCAAAAATTAATTGCAAACCTGTATGTGGACTATCAGTGTCATATTGTCCTTCTGTTTGAAGGAACGGACAGAGTGAGGGAGTTGATAATGTTACATTCAGTTCTTTTCTTATGATCAGGAACCAACAGAGGTCACATGTAGCACCTGAAGTAATGCTTTCTAGTCTCTGTCCTATTCTTCAGCAGTTAGGTTATGCTGTTGGATTCTCCTGAAGCAAATCTCTAGTTGAAGAGAAGGAAACAAGATACATTTGACCAAACTTATTGCAGTTAAAATAGGGGGTTTTATTTACTGTTTGGACCATGATCTCTGGCATCTGTATTTATCTTATCTCCCATTTTTTAAAAAAAACATCCCCCCGCCAAAAAAAAAAAACCCACACAGTTGTTTCTATGTTGTTTTTTCTGTTTGTACTTCAGTATTTTCTGTATTTAAACAAATACATTGATATATGAAATGAAATTTTGTATTGCTTAGTGTGCGACTGTTCTCATCGTGTCTGATGAGAATGTTACTGTCTGCCAGGTGTTTTTTTACAAAGGAGAACTGCACATCATTCCACAGCCAGAGACTCAGGAGCGGGAATGGAACCTCTCTGCTGCCAGTCCAACAATCTCGCAGGCATTAACGCTGTTATCCACTCATTCAGAGGAGTTCCTGGCTGCAGAACCCATTAGAACAGCAGTGTATAAACGCATCAGTGGGTATGTGGGTGTTTTCTTTTGGTCTTCTGCAACAGTAAGTTTTGATTCTGGGCTGTCTGGGGTACTTTTTTGCATTCAGTCATTTTCCTGTTAGATGTGATAAAGTAGCTTCCTTTTCAGAAACCACCAGCTAGAGGTTTTCCTGTGGCATTCTTCTGAAGAGGGGGACCAGTGTCCAGTAGGCTGTAGTGTTGTCTGGGGGCTCTGAAGCAACTCACTGCTTCAATGCCACACCTGACAATGTATTCTTCTTTCACATCCTTCTTGTACTGAAAAATCTGAAAGTTATGTGAGCCTGTAGGAGCCCTTTGGAGAGGGGGAAAGAGGATTGCGAACTAAAATGTAGAACCAGCATACTTTTCAGAGCCTCAGCTTGTCACCAGTGTGTTCAGCACTGTACTTTATTTTTTGCAAGGATTTGACACCATGAGCCAGATGACTTCTGCACTTGGTGCGGTCAAGGATGCTGTATAGTTGCATGTGTTAGGTTCACAGTGATTCGTTTTACCAATTTGGGGATTAAATTTTTATTAGCCATGTATATTTATATATATGCGTAGGTATAAACAGACATCCCAGTTGTTAGATTAGCTGAGTTTTAACTTTAGTTTAGAATAATCTTTGGCACTTGGCCCATAATATAGATTAATATTAAAGTGAAAATGGGAATGATAATTAAAAAGGAGTGATTTGGGCTTGCAGTACACTTCATAACACTATGTTGTTATTGTATGGCACAGGTATCCTGAAAAAATTCAGGCCTCATTTCACCGAGCCCACTGCTACCTTCCGGCAGGCATTGTGGCAGTGCTGAGGCAGCGTCCTTCGTTGGTGGCTGCAGCAGTCCAGGCCTTTTACCTGCGAGATCCAGCAGATTTACGAGCATGTCGCTCTTTTAAAACGTTTCCTCCAGACGAGTGTGTAATGACTGTAGTAAGTGACCCTTCTGATGCAGTTTGTCCCTTAAGCAGGTTCTGTGACTGATGGAGGTTCTGTGGTCAAGTGATTTAAATATGAGGATTTCATTTTTAAAATGGCATGTTTTCTGATTTATTTTTTATTTTGATGCTCGACATGAGTTCTTTATGTTAATATCTTTTCTGCCTTCAGATTGACAGGGCTAGGCTTTCAAATGGCTAATTGCAACTGTTTCTGAAATCAGAGGTTACTGCTAGTAGTTCCTCTGTTGAAATATTTGCGAAGTAAATTGGTCTAGTTCTGTGACAGGGCAGTCTGACAGCACTGCCAGCAAACATAAGGAGTTGTTCCTAACTACCCATAGGTGCTCATTCCAAGACTTTTCACCTTTTCAGCTGTGCTTACACAGCTTTGTGGATGCTATTTTATGAAGTACTTTATGAGTATTGTCCAAGCAGTGTTGTATCTGATATGTTTGCATTACAGAGTTATACCCCTGAACTCCTGAAAATAAGCTTGGGAGTCAAATTGTAGAATTCTAGACTGTTTTTGAAATGTCAGCTTTGGTTTCGGTAACTGAAAATAGCCCTTACGGTTTTCAAAATACGCCTTGTTGGCACGAATACAGAGGATTTTTAAAATGTATTTAGACTGAATGAAGTTCATGCTTATTTACAGATGTCAACTTGGAATATGTTTTGTAAGAACTGAAAAGCGACATACCTTAGGCAAATGTATCCAAGATGTGTTTTGAATACAATCTTGGGTGTTGTCTGTAATATGGGTGCTTTAAAACAAAATTTAGAGGAGGCTGGTGGAAAGTTGATGCCCATACACAACCCAGTCACACTGCAGTGAGTGTTTTGCTTTTGCTCTGGCTTTTTCAGGTTACTTTTACAAAGTGTTTATATGCACAACTGGTGCAGCAGAAGTTTGTTCCAGACAGACGTAGTGGATACACTCTGCCCCTTCCATCTCACCCTCAGTACAAAGCCTATGAACTGGGCATGAAACTGGTAATTATTTTTTATGCATTTTGTATTTAGTCTGTTTAGTTTGCTTACTTATAGGTGTCTGAGAAATAACTCTTTGCGTGTAAGTTTTCTGCTTGTACAGAAGAATGTGAGCAAATTCACAGTTACCATTTTTCTGGAAATACAATGTCATGGGAGTTTCCTTTTACAGAATAGACCACTCTTGTACTTCCACCCCTCTAGACTATCTTGACCAGAATTCACATGTTTGTATTACCATAGCCAGACTGGTATCAATCCCAGTTAATTTTCCCTTAAGCAATGTGGAAAGCCATAGAACCATAGAATGGTTAGGACTGAAGGGACCAAAAGATCATCTGGTTCCATCCCCCCTCACATGGGCCCCCCTCACACCTCCCACTAGCCCAGGTTGCTCAAAGCCTCATCCAGCCTGGCCTTAAACCCCTCCATTGATGGGGCATCCACAGCTTCTCTGGGCATCCTGTTCCACTGCCTCACCACCTGCACAGGAAAACATTTCTTCCTCATAGCTAATCTAGATCTACCCCGTTTCACCCTTAAACTGTCACCCCTTGTCCTATCCCTCCACCCGCTGATCAAGAGCCCCTCTGTCTCTCCTGTATCCCCCTTTCAGCACTGGAAAGGAGCCTTCTCTTCTCCAGGCTGAACAACCCCAGCTCTCTCAGCCTGTCCTCAGATGGGAGGTGTCCCAGCCTCTGACCATCTTTGTGTGGCCTCCTCTCAATTCAATCTCCACCCAGCCTGTATTTGTGCTTGGGGTTGCCCAGACCCACATGCAGGACCTTGCGCTTGGCCTTGTTGAACTCCATGAGGTTTGCATGGTCCCACTTCTCCAGCCTGTCCAGGTCCCTCTCTGGATGGCATCCCTTCCCTCCAGCATGTCCACCACACCACACAGCTTGGTGTTGTTGGCAAACTTGCTGAGGGTGCGCTCCATCCCACTGTCTGTGTGTCCAACAAAGATGTTAAACAACACCAATCCTGATACCGACCCATCTCAGTTTCCGTCTTGGGACAGATCTATTTTAGCCTCTGTCCAAAGCAGCGCATCCTGTCAAAGTTGCTGTTCGTTTCTTTTGTCCATGGAGAAGCTTCTGTGGACTAAATTTGCATTTCAGTTTAGAGCTCTGCCTAAGCGTGCATCAAAGCTACAGATGCCGTGCCTTAAGCACCAGAGCACCAGACCCTGTCCTGCACATCCAGTTTGGCACAAGGCACGTAGAGCTTGTTATGGTGCATTTCTGCTGCACAGAGTGATCTGGAACTTAAGCTGCGTATAGGTTGCCCCTATCTTGATTGTAGGCAACATCTGAGATGGGGGCGAGGGGGATTTGTCTGAAGGGAAGAAAGGACGCTGGGCACAGCATGCCCTGGCACCTTGTGGCAAGTGGAGATGTATAATCTTGAGTTTTCTCTTTTGAAATTTCCTCTCTGGAAACTTGCGTCTCAGTGCAGCAGGTCTGTATCCACAAAATGTGTAGGCCAGGCAAGTTTTCAGTTCAGCATAGATTCTACATACAGGTAAAGTCTTTATGCTTATCTGAGGAGTAATTTGTGCAGGTCTGTCTTCTAGTTTGCTTTGCAGTGACTTGCCCATGTAGACAAACTTTGCAAAGTCAAAATGATCCATTATTGCTGCACGAAGACAGTTTCCAACTTCCAGAGTGAGATGATGCTACCTGATGCATAATTGGATTTGGCACCTACTTCTCAAGTGGCAGCATCAGAAGCTCAATGATAGTGCGTTCTTTATGCAGTCGTTTAAAGGTGCACTTGAACTTGTTACATCTTGAGAACCTCTTGTTGTTGCATCTCCTACACAGGCTCATGGCTTTGAGATTTTGTGCTCCAAGTGCAGTAAAGTATCTCTTGATTCCAAGAGAAATGTTTTGAGCAGTCCCCTGTGGGAGAGATTCCTCTGCAGCCTGAAGGAAAAAAATTATTTCAAGGTGAAGTTGTGTGTGTATGTGTGTGCATGCATGCATCTGTCTTTCTTTTATTCATTCTGGGAAACACATCTTTTAGGTCTTGAACGTATGTAAGTAGTTACGACAGGGCTAGGAGTCTAATGCTACTCTCTATGGAAAGTGAATTAATATCTTTAAAGGAGTTATGTGCAGTTTGTTCCCCTTTGAAACTAGTTAATTTATGTTAGAAATTAGAAAGGAAAAAGGAGGATTTGCGGATTAGTTCCTTCATCTAAAGAAAGGGGAAGTAGACTTGAACAAAGGAAAGCCACAGTGTGGTTGCGTGTCAGTGTAACTGTTTTCACTGTTACACATTTCATTTGCATGCATCTAAAATTAAATATTCTTAATACATGAAAAAAGCCATTTTGAGCCCATGTAAGTGGGGTTTTTGTGTTGTGGGTTTGAGTGTTGTGTTTTTTTTTTAATGATGCCTTTTACTACTTACTTGAAGTTTGTGGGTTAGAAAATTAGATAACTCTATCAGCATGCTTAGGTTAATATCTTTTTTAAATATAGGAAAAGGGACATATTCTTACAGTATTGCAATGCTCCTTCTGTGGATAATGCCCAAACACCTACAGATTCATTCACAATTCCTGTGCAGTTGTAACCTGGGCATAGTAAATCCACCCTGTTGTGGCAATTGTAGTATTGTCTTTGATTTTTTTTTTTTTTTTTAGAGTACACCATATGATATGGCAGCACAAGACTTTAAGTCATATCTGAGTGTGATAACACCTTGTGCCTGTTACCTATATTCTGTTCCAAGTATACATGGCAAAGCAGTACTACTAGTTTTGATTTTCTCAGCACTAAATTTCAGACAAATAGTTGTCGTTATGAAGCCTGACTGTGAAAAGGAAGGGGAAGGAGAATTGTTTAGATTCATACTTGTGACTTGCATTAAATAGGGAGAAATGGAAGGATCTGCCAAGTACTTGGAGCTGTTGCGTATGGCAGAAGATTACTTCCAGCAATCTGTTACCAAGCCAGAAAGGTAAGAGCTACTTGAAATTGATGAGTAATCATACATAGTACCTACAAGTACTTTAACTAAGCTTTATTAACACTTGTTACAAAAAATCTGAACCCTTTTCTCTATCATACTTTTAACGTAGGTGCTGGGGCTAGGACATATTCATATTAATTCCTCTGGAATACTCTCTACTAGTAGAAGTTATTGCTTGAGTAACTATGTATCTTGTTTTGTAAAATACTACGGTATTCCAAGTAGGTTAAGAGGCTACTGAAAAGCATAATTTGGTTGGTTAGCTATCAAAAGTGTTTAAAAGCTTCATTGAAAAGCAATACCAGTGAATAATAAACATGGAGTAATCTGTTTCCTTTACTCAAGACAGGCAGCTGGCTGTAGATTTCTCCAAAAGATCAAATCCAAAAAAACAGATCATTACAAAAATATCTGAGGGTTTGCCAGCTCATAATATCTTGACTGTTAGTTGCTTGAAGTTGCAGTCTTTGCTGTTTGGGATCTGGCTATCCTAATGTTTACCAAGACAAAATAAATACAAAGAAGAAAGGAAACTTGAGAAATGGGCTTTGGAGCCATCAACAAGGAATTACATTAATTGACTGTGTCTTGTTTTGGCTAATATTATCTGTAGTATTCTGGTACTTCCCCAAAATCCACTTACCTTTTTGATGTATTTGCGCAGAAGGAATAATGAGGAATTTGAGTGAAAACCCGCATGTTTAGTGTGTGATGCCATTGGCATTGTAGTGTGAGTAAAAATCCATTTCAGTAAATAAGATTTTTTTCTTCTAGCTCTGTTGAAGTGAGGCCAGGTGATGAAATCTTGACATTGCTACAGACAACGACCATTGATTTGAAGGAATTGGAGAGAGAAGCAGGTTGTCTTCCTCCAGATGATGGTGAGCAGGAGGCAGGGGCGGCCTCTTGCTATCACAAATGATTATTTGTGGGGGGAGAGTGAACGTTCCCAGCACTGTACCAGTCTCTGTATCTACTTGTTTGTCTCCTGTCCTGTGACTGCGAGAGGTGTTGTGCATGGGCCATCACTGCAGATGGAGGAAACCAGTTCATTTGTATCAGCCACAGAGCTTGGGGCTCTGAATTGGCAAGCTGTGCAGTCCAGTTTCTGATACTGTGCAGTCCAGTTTCTGATACTGCTAGATCAGGAACACCATGCACACTTACACTGCATCAAGTACTTTGTGTCAACTGTCTAGCAGACAGAAAGTATTTTAACATTTTATAATAATAATCCAGTTCCAATACTGACAATACAGAGTTAATTACTATCTGGTCTACTCTGATGGCCAATATAAGACCAGCATAACCTTTATATAACAGGGTTTTTTTCACTCACTTGACAGAACAGTAGTTGTTGCCAGTGTGCAGTACAGGTCACATCTGTATTTCTGAATGATGCAGCAGCTCAGAAATCCAGCATTCGGTGTTAATGATCACAGTCGAAGGTTAGATTGGCTCTCCCTTTGTAGCGTAACCCTTTTCTTCCTTCATTGGATGGCAGGAGGATTATCTGTGACTAGAACAATATCTTCTAGTTTGAAGCTGCATATAAAGCAAAGTTTTAAAGTAGTAAAACAAAGTCTGAACTCTCTTCTCAGCCTCTCACTGCCCTATACCCTCTAACACAGGGTATCAGCAGGAGAACTTAATAGCACAAAAGTAAGCTACAAAATTATAGCAGTGCTCTTGGCCGTCTGGATTGGGACTTGTGGGCTAACAGACTTGTGCCGAATAACAAGTATGCCCTGTATTCTTTCAGATGACAGTTGGCTGGAGATTACACCGGATGATCTAGATCAGATGCTGAAGGAGGCAAGAAACGATTCCCTTCCTTCCTCAAATGAGGAAGCCCAGAAATATGACTTGGAAGCAGTTGCTAAAAGTATGAAGGCTTTTGTATCCAAAGTCTCAACGCATGAAGGAGCAGAAATGCCATGGTAGTAATATTTTTAAGTTTGGGTTTTGGTGTAGAATGTGTTTTCATTCTGCTGCAGCCCTTTGGTTCATTCAGTAATTCAGAGAATCAAAGTTGGAAAATGTTTGACCTACCAGAGGCTGAAACAAACCGGTGTTAGTAGTGGATATGTAGTTGCTTTTAAACCAACTTAGTGACTACTCTGATACTGGCGCAGGTAAAAATGCTGCAAGTTGTGCTGTTTTCCAGTGCTCTTACTTAGTTTGGTTTTGTGGTTTGTAAATGATTTTTAACCCTTTTAAGTTGAAGGCTTACTGTTGTTTGTTACTGTAGTTCTTAACACTGTGATTAAAATGCACATCGCCAGTTCATTTGTGCTGAAATTTTTCTACCATGAAGGACTAACTATTCAGGCTGCTAAGATGCTTCTGATAAGGCTGTGCAGAAATAAAAATGAAGCTTAAGTTGAGGGAATCTGTGAATTAAGACTGTTGATTTTGTTGTGGTACAGCAGTATTTAGATTTCCTGTAGGTTAGTGTTTTGAATATACTGGGCCTGTTTTTGCACTATTGAAGCACATACTATACACCTAGAAGCAGGAGAAAAGAATCACTGCGGATCCCTCTTGATTGTTCCCAACAGTGCAAGAAAAGTGTTAACTGAAGACACTTAACTATTTAGACAACAGCAGAATGCCACTAGATTAATTGTTGGGGTTAAGAAAGTGTGTGAGCGCTGTGTAGACAGGCCTTTGGTTTTTAAAAAACAAAGAGTGAGGGAGTAGCATATTGTCTGGGTTCTTTTTCATGGCTTTAACATTGAGAAAATAATGCTGTGTAAGCTGCATCAAACATATAAGGGTCTACTCAATTTATGCTCTTAACTGTTTGATCCTTTATAATAAATGTTAGCATCAATGTCTGAGTTATAAGGTAGGTTTTTTCAGTTATTTAGAAAACAAAAAAACAAAGGCTGAGAAAATGACAAACCACTGAGCCTTACGAGAGACCAGAAAGAAACCGTTAGTGTTCTTTTTAGGCAGGAGATGCCAGACTCTCAGGATTTTAAAACCTTGCCTGAGGTATAACACCACCACTTTGTTCCAAAAGGATTCAGGCATGCTTATTTTGGTTGCCTTCAGTACTATTTTTGTTTGACCATGACAAACAAAGTAGTTGGTTTTCTTTTCTCTTTCATGCCAGGAGGTCTGCTGCTTGCTGTCTCATTTTTAATTCATGCAGGCCTCAGACTTCTAAGTGCTTCCAAGACCATCAGTTCAAATGTCCGAACTTTAATCTAGGCTTGAGAGAAGTCAGTATGCGATATGGTTTATGTCTCTGTCAGGCTTATGCAAGCATAAAAGCTTTATTTATTTAAAAATATTTTTATCTTTCAGGTCATCTGATGAATCCCATGTTACCTTTGACGTAGATTCTTTTACAAAAGCGTTAGACGGGATTTTAGGTAAGATTGCTGCTTTGTTTCTTTTGGCAGAATATCTCATGGTTATTTGGCTTCCCTGGGTTTTCTCATCACCCATGGGCACTGCGCTGATCTGTTTGCTATCCTTACTGACACAAAATAATACATAGGGGCAGACTCAGAAGAGCTGGATTCCGATGATCTGGATGAAGAGGAGGAGTTTGACTTCTCAGATGAGGATGATGAAGACTTAGGTGCTGAGAATCAAAGGCAAGAGCAGAAGGTATCGCCTAATGAGCTTATAGGCAGTCTCAAGTCATATATGAATGAGATGGACCGTGAGCTGGCACATACCAGTGTTGGTAAAAGTTTCACCACCCAAAAGAAAGGGGTAAGTATGCCTTGGGTTCTACTTCATAGTGTAATAGTTTTGAGAGCTTTAGTAGGAAAGAGGAAATATACTAAAACTGGTCATTCTGAGTAATGTGATCAGAAACTTCTGTCTTCTGATCATGTGCTAACTAATTATTAAAAAAAATAATCCCACGTGCAAGCAAAATGTGTTGTGGTTGTAGATTACTCCCATAGGAAACTGAGCCAGGATTCGGTAACCCTCTCTATCCTTCTCTTGGAACTTAATCTGTATAATGGAAAGTGATGATTTTTAACCGGCATGAGCATCTGGTGACTAAATTCCTGTCTGTCAAGACAGTGTAGAACATACTGAACTTTGTTGGCGGCAGAACTGTTTCCTTGTTTCTTTTTGCTTGTGGTTTGTGTTTTTTTTTTTTTTTTTAACCCATTTATACTATCAATTTGATAAAACTTTCTCTTTTTACTTGCTGTAGGCAAGTTCTGTTAATGCAACCATGTCTCAAAATGCTGGCCCTGGTTCTGGAGCTGAAGATACCGAGCTGACCCCCGTTGATGTGGATATGAACCTAGTAGCTAACCTGCTTGAATCCTATAGCGCTCAGTCTGGACTGGCAGGACCCACCTCTAACATTTTGCAGAGCATGGGAGTGTATTTACCTGAAAACGCAGATCATATTGGCTCTAATGAGGGAGCAACAGAATAAAAGACTGTCTTAATTTAGCAGACGTGGCTGATTGAGAAATGAAGCACAGAAAGACTAGCAGTATTTGGAAGAAGAGACAAAAGTTTTTAATTTTTAAAGCATTTTATGCACTGGTTACATGTGATTTTGCAGATGCAAAGTGAAGTTACCTGCAAAAGCCATCTGGATACTGTCTTGGATAGAAATTGGATTTTTCTGTGCTAACATGTTTCCAGAAAACTGAGAAGTGATATTGCAACTTGAATGAAACTTATTGTAAGACCTGTCTTCGGTTTTTCAAATTGATAATACAATTTGCTGTATTTGTGAAGTGTCCTTTTATCCATTACTTGGTGGTTTCAGTATCTGGGAGGCAGTTCATGTCCTGAAAATGCTCCTGCCTTTGGGGGAGATGGAGGAATACCATATTATAGGAACAGTGTTCTCTTGTGGATTTGGGAATGCTGGTTAAATGTTCAGCAGACGCTTATTCGCTTTTCCAAAAGTACAGTGCTTCATTGTAAGAACTTTCGATAATTACTGGAAGAATCTGTTCCTTATTAACCAGGAGGATTTGAAGAGTAACTGGGCTGAATATGTAAATATTGGCTATAAGTATTTTTTGAATTTATTTAAATAAAAGTAGAAACACAACTTGATTCCTGGATATTTTTTTTCTTTAAAGGTATGCATAACTTCCTCAGTGCGGTATCAGAAGTTCTTGGAGTTAAAGCATTTTCATAATGGGCATTTTTTAATGCCATTATTGCCGAATGTTGGTGCCATGCCAGCAGTAGCTGTATATGAGCCCAGGCTGAACAGCTGAGTTTTGTTTCTCAGTGGAAGTGTCTCTAGAAGGCATTCACCCTGTTGCTTTCACATGGAATGAAAAATCTCTTCTAGATATGAAGACTTAATTTTAACAAGATAAATTTGAAATAAAATGTGTAGAAATTCTTGAGTTACAG